GTTCATGATTTATTTTAGATCTAAGTTGTATTTTCTTTAGTTAAGTTCTTTCATTTGTTTAGCTTTAAGTTGTTGTTTTTACTATTTGTTCATTAGTTTAAGTTTGACTGCGCCACTTTCTTGTGTGCTGCCACTGATGTAAAAGTGTAATGTCAATAAATATTATTATTATTATTATAATAACTAACAGTCCATCTATCAACTCTAACTTGATAACACCCTCTTTAGTCAATATGATACACAAAAAATTATATTACCAAGAAATTAAATTAAAGTCCCAAATGTTAACACATTCTCATAAATTATTAACAAAATATTTGATTTACAATTATGATCATACAACGATTATTTCTTTTTATCATTAAAGTTTATTTTTTTTATAATTCCTTTTGGTGGGCTATGTCTTTTCGCTAAAAGAACCATAACTTAACAGAGATAGATTGGTGTTGTGAGTGTTCATTATTATATACTTTATGTTGTGCTTTGTTTATCAAGTGCAAACCCCACCTTAATTACACCCAATTCTGATTTTCAATATATTTCTTGCCGAAACAAAGCTGTAGATTGACAATACAATATTCCGAGCAGAAGTGATGTCTTCTTTTCTTTGTTTTTCCACATAGTCATGTTTTTGTATAAAGTGAAAGAGTGAACCGAAATGAGCAAACACACTCCCAAACAAAATATGTCTGGCAAATCAGATATAAAAGAATCCACACTCCAAACCTCGACGAAAAACTTTCTAGACAAGACGAAGTATTAAGGTAATGACAAGGGGCAGTGAATTATAATACAAAAGACAAATTTCTATTGGAAGATGGGACAAATATTTGATCATAATCACTCCTTCCTTGTCTGTAAGGAAAGTGATTTTTAAGCAAAACTGACTGTTATGTAAAAATCCCTTCCAGAAAGCTTACTGCCTCTTCTTAAAAATACTTATAGTTAAAAATAGTTAAAATTGTTACATAGGAAAATATGTTGACCTCTAGTGTCATAGTTCCATGTCTTGTGCTTCGTCTTCTGAAAAATCGCTCATGGAACTTTCACTGGATGATGATATGTCTTCCTGCTCCTTCAGAATGTCTTCAGTGGCGTACCTCCTAATGTAGTCTGAAGAAAGAAAAACACCCATTTAAATTTCAGAATCGTCTTTATTTATCATCATTACCCAGTGCCAACATAATGAAGAGTGAAGCCCTCTCATAACATATATCTACTTAATTAAAACAGTAAGGAAGCAATGAAGAAGTTCATTTAACTGAAGAGGTGTACTGTGTATATGAAAGCTTGAGATAATAAAATCTCAACTAGTCTGAAGATGCTGCTTTTTGCTTTCTTACTGTTATGTATTAGACTAGTATAACTCATCATATCTTTTATCTACTTAATTATCTTACAGGCAATAAACAAATATCTTGGCAGAAATGTATTCTTACATTTTGTCCCCATTTGAAATTCAAAGAAAAGACCCAAAAATAAATTTGTATTGGTAATCAAAGGCTGCCTGTACTGTACTTATTAAGATTCACAATGTTAGTTGACTTTTTATCTTCACCACTAGAGGGCGTAAACATCCATTACTGTCATAACGTTTGAATAACAATGTAACTAAGAGGGCTCACTACAATGTATACTCTATCTCTGAATTCAAATAAAAAATAGATAAGCCGTACTAGTCTAATATATAATAGAAAATAAAACTCAGGATATTCAGTACTTTTATGACTAGTTTATTTATGACAGTACACAAGCTTTCGAGCACACAGTGCACTTCTTCAGGTGAATGTGAAGTTAACATAAACTTGGTGTATAGACCTAAGCAAGTTAATTATTCAAGCATACAATTAAGAAAAAAGGACTAAAGCATAAGCAATAAACAGTATAAAAATGAAAAGACAGGTCAGGGGTCAGAAGTATTATCAAAGTCAGTGAGTATAATATATAGTAACTAATATATAGTAAAAATAATTGAATTCAAAGTTAGAGAAAAAACTTTAGGACAAGATTGTTGCTCTTATGCATGGAAGCATGTGGTATAACTTTAAGTTGTTCTTTAAAAGGGTTGTAAAATCTGAATCTCAGGCTTTTAAAATTCCAGTAGCAGATTCAAGGCCTTCCTAAATTTTTCAAAACTATTTTAAAAATGGAGAAAAAAATAATTTATAGTAAAACTTAAGACTGAGATTGTCATTTGTACCATCTAGAGGTGCCATAATCATAATTTTGCTTTATGGGTTCTACCTCTATCCATGAAGTCCTTCTCTGAGCCCCTTTTATTCCTTGGCTTTCTTACTTTTTGTGCATGTCCACTCAGGAATATTTTTGACCACCTTGTAGCATGTGAATGTTTTAGCATGAAATTTGCCTGTGTTTTGGAATACCTTTGATTTTGACGGTGTAATCCTCTGGTTTATGGAGGTATAGCGCTGCAGCGTCCCCATTCAATGGATCAATAGGGTTCGGGTAGCTCAGTAATTGTGGTAAAAATGAGTCAAATATGTTCGTCAAATCTGAAATGGAAGTAGATATATCTGTGCGTTCAGATCAAAAGAAGTACGTGACACAGGTGGTGGCGCCGTCAACTTAGTAGTGCAGGGTAGTAGAGCCGCAGGCTTGTCCTCAGTGGAAGCATTGGAGCCCTGCTGAGGCTAAGGTATCTGCGTGTACACAGTAGTGTAATGGCAAAGTCATCTCAAAATCGGAGGTGTGCCCTTTCCTCCTCTCCTTCGCCTCTGTTCATCAATTTATTTTTTTTGGTTTTTTTTTTTTTTGGTTTCTTATTGGCTAAAAAGCACCCTGAGATGGTTTTTACTGTGGAAGGCACTATAAAAATACATGACCATTAACCATTGGAATATCAGAAATAGCTCCCAGGAAGGAGGATGTAGTTGAAGCATGGATGATCTTGCATAATTGAACATATATCAGTTGACCACGGATAACAATATTAAGTACCAGCCAGAAAACACCTTATTATCATTGTTAATATTTTAATACTGTCAATCACCAGTCTCTATTTAAGGCCAAATAAGCCTCATCCTTTTCATTCTTCAAATGACGGATGGCCTGAATATATTTAACTAAGCAAGAAAAATATTCAATAATTTCATTTGTAAACTTACCATACAGTGCAGTCCATGCTTGGTTGATTACATCCAAACAAACAGTTCCTGACCTAAAAGAAAATAAAGAAATATATACTTGATTTCACAAAATACTCTATTATTATTATTAAAGATATGTTGTGTCATAAAATATTTATGTATGTGTTTAGAAATAGTCTGGATAATTTGATCTAAATGTATTCAATTCCTACTCAAATATATATAGACAATTATGCTACATTTTAAATACAGTGTTTTTTCCCTTCTTTTATTAAACTTCAATTTTGATTTATAATGTTTTATAATGAGAGATAACAATAAAGTTCCTCGTATTTTGTATTTATAACAATATACTGTAAAATAAATTTATTTATAAACTAAAAAACTTAACAAGTTATACTTCTGACATAGAGATTATAATTTGTGATACTGTTTTCTCAGATGGAATGGTCACAACTGGCGTTGAATGGCTTTCGGCCAACATTTGTATTGGAGTGGGGTTCTAGATTTTTTAAGATGATTTGTTTTAATCACTTATTCTTTATACTCCGAGAGCCATTTCAGTAGAAATCTAATGTGCTTGTAGAGAAAGGCAAGTTAGATAGGATGGTAAGCATTAAACATTAGACACAAGGATAGGAACAGTTTCCTTTAATCAATACAGAAAATAAATATCTGGATCTTTCATGTACCACATGTCACCTGAAACCTTGCAGCGACAGACTTGCTAATCTTTTGCAAGATGAAACGTAAATGTAAACGTACAAAATATAACTAAAAATAACTTGCAATATTGTCTGGAATATTAATAAAAAGCCTTTTAGTTGGTTTTGAATCTTGAAAACAAATATTTCCTTTACATTTTTCTTAAAACTACAATATTTTTTCTGTACTAGTGTTTTTGGTAAGCCATTCCATGACATTGGATCTATATAAAGATAGCGTAGAGTGATTCTAGTAAGTTTGAAATTATTTCAAAGAAGAATTCTGTCATGTGAGATCATTATAAATTTCATAATTTCTGTCAAATGATTGATTTGTGTTGAAATCTGCAAAAAAGACTTACGCCTCATCGATATTAGGATGGTATATTTTGTTCAGGAAACCTGTAGACAAATGTAAGAATATTAGCAAATAGTTAATCACAAAAATATATCAAATAACTGAGGAACTGTGATAAGAATAAACTAAGGACTTATAAGGCCAAAAAAAAATTGTTGTGTTGCCCTCCACGACGGACCAAAATTTTCCAAAAAATCAGGTCAGCATTTAAAAAAAATTTTTTTTTTAAATTGTGTTCAAGTACAAATTCGAGAAATACCACTTCCAAAATTAACATTTAGAACATAAAATCTTAAACAGACATGTATTTTTATCAAAATTGGGCCATATATGCATGCGTAAATCGGTAAAATATAAGGCATAATTTTGAGAACCGAGCACGACGACGATATATGCACACAACATTGGATTTCTCGTGCTGAGCTGTCGAGCCGAGACCAGATCTAGGCCTAACATATTCTTTACTACTGTACATGGTTGCTTGAATCAAAAATCATATTCATTACCTTACGATATATTGGACAATAAATAAAAACAGGCTTAGGTCTAGCCATCGCTTTAAAACTGGTACATAGGCCTAGGCCTAGCTAGACATTTTCGGCTCCATCACGGTTAGGCAAACTATAAACAAAATATTTCTCTTTTTTTTTTCTTGAAGTTTACTTCGATCGTATTACATAGAGAGCGCTTGTATGGTTTTGCTCAACATGCCTGTGCGTGATCGTATGGATCGGATACACATATTATTTTACGTTTCGAAGCCAAATAAATCTTTCTTTAAACTGACTTATTTTTGTTAAATTTATCTCAATACACTTGGTTAGTATTTATTCCGTCATTATATACTTTGAATATTTTTTGTTTGGCAAGCTTGCCATCGTTCTGTTGTGGTGTCTACGACTCAAGCTACGTACGAGTTACACAACAATTTTTTTTTTTGGTCTAATGCAAGTCCCACCACTATATACCACCAGCAAAATTCTAGAGAATTGCATTGGTTGTGAATTAGGGCACAAACTCTATTCTATATATTAATTTACTTATTTATCATTAATTACAAGCCATATTTTGTGAGGGTAACTCTTTCGAGTTTTAAGCTGATTAAATTGGTCTTCAATGAATGCAATAATACATAAAGATAGCAAGTGAAGGCAGGGGCCAATAGAATGCAAAGAGCCCCCTGTTGATGTTCAGAGCCAGAGGGGCCTAGAAAATGCAGTGGTTCTAATATTTTAGAAGACAAAGTTCAGAAATGTTCATTATGTACTCTCCATAATAGGCCAATTTTCAGAAAGAAATTGTGAGCACAGTGATTGAGTTTAGACATGCGATATGACCAACAGCTATTCAAGCCTGATTACCTGATATCTAATCTCATTATACAAAATTTCTACATATTTAGAATTTATTTTTTAACATATCGATATATGTGACCACCACCACCATTGTTACCAGTATTATTATTATTGTATGCATAGGCCTACCAATAGATGGAGACTTGAATGGATACTTCTCTGGCAAATCCACTCGAACCTTCCACACACCTCCTTCATATGGAGCTAGAAAAGTGAACAAAATACTTATAAATTACCTAGTGAATAAAAAGTATTGATTCAAGTTAGAGTTGCATTAGTCATACAACATATGGCATGTCATTAAAATATTTGATTGATACAAGAATTCTCTACACTTCAGGTAGACGACGGATGTAGTAATATCAAAAGGGAACTTTCGATCAAGAACGTAGGACAAGAATGCAGAAATAATTCATGTATCCATGACTGGCATTACAAACGTTCTATGTTATATTGTAAATTGAATAATACAGCAGCTAGTTCAAAAATATTGTTCATTTCAAATACAAAAAGTGTTTGTGTGTAACTTACATCCCTTTGGTCCCCAGAACTTGACGGTAAACTCATGCAAACCGCTTAGGATCGTGACTTCATGTTTACTCTCGATTCTGAAATACACTTGTCAAGGAGTATTGAAGGTATTCGGGTGTAAATGTCAATGTAACAAGATACAATACACCGACAATGGTGAATGTAATGACGGAATAATGTGAGACAATCACAGAATTAGAGAGTATAGTACAATCAACAAGCATAATAAGTTACTTAACAATCGCATCAAAGAATTTATCCACCTCAACATAAACATTCTACAGCACAAACATGTTTAAAAAACACTCAATATTACGAGAAAACATTTTTCTTGCCAATAACCCAGTGGTGGCTCCATAAAATTGCCGATAAGGGGTCCAACAAGGGGATGACTAGAGCCTCAGTCCTGGTCCCTAAATTAAAAATTCTGCTAATTAAAGGGTGGCATCTCTCCACACCTTGCAAAATTTGCTAAGTTATTGAAAGTGATACAAAATGATTATGCCCAATGACCGAACTATGATTCTAAGCACTTAATACAATATCACTTTGGTATTTTTTTATTTTGTTTTGTATATTTTAAAGTGAAGTTTATAATTATGTTCTTTCTTTACGAAAGCATTGGAACTCAAATTTCATGTGAACCGGGTGGTGCACATCAACTATTTTGATTGAGAGCCTAAATGATTCCTTAATTTTTTCCAGTCAACTGTGTTTACTAAAAGCCAATATATATTAAAAGACATCTCTTTCTTTTTGTAGTGCATTTTACATTTCATAGAGAAAAACGAAAGCCCAATACTGAAAACTTAATTTTTCCAATCATGACTTGTCATAGAAACCATCCTAAATGCCTCAGTCTGTGGGAAAACTGTAAATAGCTATTGTTCTTCCTTGTCTGATATATAAAAAAACAACTTCCAGATTTCCTGTTTGTTATCTGTCCGGTAATGCAAACTAATTGTCCGGTCCCTTTGTTCTGTTGATTATCTTTTCTACATATGGATCATTTGTTGTTCTGAAACCAAAATGTACATGTTAATTTATTGGCAATGTACAATCAAATATTCATTTTATAATTCTCCATAATAAAGGCCATTAGAAGAATAGAAGTGTTTAATTTGATATTTATTGTCTGATTATTAAACTAAGATTTTTTTTTGTTTTACATTTTTATTGTTTTAAGTTGAAATTAAGTGTTTCGACAGCTTTAATGTTTTATTTTATTCATTTTCATATTACATGTGTTAAATGTTTTAATTGTTATCATCCATTAGCCTGAATGGCAGGTATCTATATGTGTGGAATAAGATGTATTAAAATTAAGGAATTTCATAATACAGTAGTATCAATTTTCTCCTCAATGAGACTTCATATCTTAATCTCTTTAGTCGGGCACTAACTGCGTCTTATGACGGTCAGCCGACGAATCCAACTCCACTCTCTGTGAACGCTACAGGACGTGACGCCGTCAGTTGATTGTCAGCGGCTGTCTAAACGGATCGTCATTAAAAAAGATTTGTTGCACGCACGTTGTTGCGTTACGTTTTCCATGGAATCGCGTTGGCCCACGACTGTCAGGCGTAGTGAGTGCCTGGATTTTGTCAGTAAACATTAAAAATTGATTTATTTTATTGATATATTGATTTTATTGATTTATGATCAAATGCACAATGAAATGCACTGACAGTGCACTACATTGCTTACCCGTTCGATTCTGTAGACTCTGGGATGCTTTACCCACAGATTTAAGAAATGATTTTATTTTATTAAAATGGAATACTTTTTAAAACTAGAAATTGCAATTGCAAGTGAAGTGCTGCGAAGTACAACTGCATATAAATGTTCTTCGAACAAAATTATTTATGCGAGTCAAGTGAAAATAATGAATAATAAAAATATAACAAATAATATGAGACNNNNGTTTATTAGAACACTTCTCATTGGGTAACAAAGTCGTAATTTTTCATTTTTGTCAAAAAGTGTCTATAGTGGTGAATTATGGTTTAGGTTTTTTTTAATAAAGTTTCAAAAATTTCTATGTATGTGGAAAATGTAGTTGATTTTTATTTTGAAGACGGCATGGTCTAGGAAGTCTTGAAAAAGTACAACAGAGAGTCTCTAGGAGAATTCTTTGGCGTCACTGTGGTCCCATTAATTATAACGAACGACTTATCACTCTCAATTGGCTTTCTCTTCGGGACAGACGATATATTATTCTGATCTCATTTATTTTTCGTTGTTTCCATAAGATAACTCATTGCAGTAGCGTTAGTAATCATATTCATGTAAACCCCCGACGTTTATATACTTTAACATTTACTCATCCGGTATATTATACAAACACTTTTAAATTTTCATCTGTTAACAATTTTCCAATTCAGTTTGCTTCATTGCCCTCTGATATTAAAGATGATGCTGTTATTTGTTCGTACAATTCTTTTATTTGTAAACTTAGACAATACTTACTGAAT